AACTAAGTGGATGTTAAAGACTTGAATCAAGAGTCATTCAAAAAGAGAATATTCCACTATTTTTTTATTACTATATTGAACTGTACTGTTTCCTTTTGTTAAGAAACATTCATTCTGACTACTCTTATCAGCATCTGTGAACCAGAATTTTAGGAGCAAGTAAAAAGCAAAACAAATTTAAATTTCATTTACAGTTACTTAATTTTGATTCACTGAAAAGTTATATTTCCAAAATTTAAGGTTTCTATTTTAATTATAATTACAGATGATCCTCAACTTACAATGAGGTTACATAAACTCATTTTAAACTGGAAATATTTATAAATCGAAAGTGCATTTAATACACCTAACTTACCAAACATCAGAGCTTGGTCTAGTCTACCTTAAATGTGCTCAGAACACTTATATTAGCCTACAGTTGGACAAAATCATCTAACACAAAGCCTACTTTATAATAAAGTATTTACTATCTCGTGTAATTTACAGAATACTGTACTGAAAGTGAAAAATAGAATGAGTACTTGAAGTGCGATTTCTACTGAATGTGTATAGCTTCTGCACCATTGTAAAGTCAGAAGAAATCATTAAGTCAAACAATTGTAAGTTAGGGACCATCTGTCCTATTAAAAATTCATTTAATTTGAAACACTGAAAAGATATCTTTGAAAAACTGTACATTCTACCTTATTCAGAACTTCTCAAGTCATTTGTATTTAACTTGAAATTTATTTTTAAAATGTGGACTAACAAGTTAGAGCTTCAAAAATAAGCCAAACCATTTTTACCCCCAGAATTGTTTAGTTTTTCTTCTCTTGTAGATATCAAAATAATTGATACTGTAATTTTCTATGCCTTCAGTTATAAGTTACTCTCCTATTCCTTACTACTTAATAGATACATAAAAGAGATGTAATTTTAACCACTTTTAAAATTATAAAAGTGGCTTCCAAACCTGTATTATGTGAATTAAAAATATTTTTAACAAGATAATTTAAGAACATCTCAAAGAGTAAGCAAAGAAAAAATTTAGGTTTCAGGTTATGCAATGATAACATTAAGATACTACTGCATTTTGTTATATTTTTATGATTTCATTTATCTTAATGTGAATCTTAGACTTGATAAACTATTATATAATGATACTGGGATTAATGCCTAC